GAATAATTACGTAAATCTACATTTAACACTGAAACTGTAACTTTCTAGGGGGGAATATTTATTATGGTGAGGGACTATACAATACATATATAATTTAAAATCTTTTCTTTTAAGGTGCGTAAGGATAGAATAATTTTGATTATACATAGTAGGGTACTCTTATTTTGAGTATGATATTTTTTTTTGTTATAAATTATATTAAGGAAATTTTTTACATTCAATTAAATTCTTGGTATTGATATTATTATAATATAGTCGGCGTTAAGCTAGGGGTCACGGGATTTTATCAAAACGCTCAAAACAGCTCATTAGCAAACAATGCGTTATGTTCCCTTACGTTGCATACATATTATTGAATAGGTTATTTTCAATAATGTCTAAACTTGTATATTATGACGAAATATAACAGAAAGTGTATTTTTTTCTTATTTTTTTATGTCATTGTATTTTATAGAGCAATTATCAATACTATTAATTTATATCACATGTACTAATTTATTTATGTTATTATTTCCATACTTGTTAATGTTAGGAATTATTTAATAAACGTTAGGTTTTACATGTATTTTCTTTCATTCGAAAATCTTATTTAAAGCTGTTCATAGAAGAGCAAATGACGGAACTGTGACCTAGAACTTCTGGTATTTGACCGCTCGTAATTTTGTCGTAATAGATCGAAAATTACAGTATATATTTAAATACAGCGTGTTCTAAGAACGATTAATTTTTATATTTAAAATAGAAATACTTTTTTTTTGTATTTTAATCTGTAAATTTTTTATTAAACTTTATATGATTTCTTGTTACAGCTACCAGCTATAGAATGTCCTTTTCAATTAGGTCTTTTGATATATTTTTATATATTTTTTTTATCTAATGTATTTTAACATTTTCAACATACATGATACACATTGAAGAAAGCTATGATATCGGATTCAACTATCATATTATTTAGTTAAATTTTAAAATAGGAGAGTGTTATTACTTCACAGTTAGACCTTTAAATTTATGTGAGGTTTCTATATTATTAATGCATACTCGTATCTACAGTAAAAATGACTTTATTTCGACTGTTTAGGGTTAATATGTTTGAGTATGGGGTTGATATATGACTAGGAAACTTTGTTTCGTATGTTTGTAAGTTAACTATCAATGTGTCAGTTGCATGCTTCTTGCTTTCATCTGTTGTATTTAAATCTCTTGACAAGTTAACGACCCGATTTGAATTTGATCTCGTAGACTTGAGTTCATTTGTATTGACAATTATTAATGAAGAGAGGCTTTGAAATACGTTAGCCAATTTAAATATCACCTAAAACAATACACTATTAAAAGGTAATAAATTCTTATCCGAACATTAAAGGAACAATTTATAAATTTTTGTTTATAATTGAAAAATTAACAAGACCCGCGAACTGTTTGTCTGAAATTTAATAGGATGGATTTATATCGTAAGCATATATTACTAAATAATCGTTTTTCGTTCATATGGAATCATTTTCTCTGAAAAAGAAACCTTAAAAGAATGCGATTAAAAAGTATTTATGAAACTTCTTCACATTTATTAAAATAATACCATAGATTTCATAATCGTATAATAGCCCATAACGTAATGAAAATTACATTGTTATTATATATGTATGTATTGGAACTTATTATTTAATCGAATTAAAGGACTTTGTCTTGCATTGTAATTAAACTATTGTTTTCATGAATAACTCAGAGCACCCTGTGCATATTTTTTAATAGGACGTTTTAAATACATCGCACCTTTGCGTTTGTTGACAGACGTGGAGTGGACGGTGTCCACGTTGTATACAGTTCCATATTGTCTTCGGTCATATAAGTGATTAAAATAAAGGTGAGTATGTTACTGTTTGTGTTCCATTTGTTTCTAGCATTGCTTGCATGCATTTTTACGATATGACTCTAAAATAAAATTGTTCTGTGTACAAACGAAATGAAACTGTTGCAAAATATAATGTAATATGTTTGTGATATATCATACTATTTTTTTATAGTATTTATTTATTCTTGCTTGGCGATCCCATAGAATTATAAAAGTGATGAAAGTTAAATATGTTTTCTTTATTTTATTCTCATTTGTGAAACAGGTGCTATTCTTAAAGAAAAGTGTGTACTAGTTAATTCAGAATACTGTATTTATTAAAAATATATTGAGGCAGATATAAAAAGGACAAATAGTCTTAACGATGCCTATTGTTTTAAATTTTATAACTAAATTATAAAAAATTAAATTACGCATATTAAAAAAATTGGTCAAATACACACTATAGTTGTTAATGGAAAACTTTTGTAGGCATTTATACATTTTACAATTGAGAATAATTTATTTAAAAAACTCTTTGTAATTTATGTAACTTTTTATACATTTATAAATAGATTGTTATGATTTTTTTTTATATTTTTTAAGAACAATTTACCTTCTCAATAGAAGGACATTTCTTGGTCAAGATGATATGAAATGAATATGAATATGAAAGCTATGGAAACGTGTAGTCAATACTACACGTAATGGTTTGTTTAGATATGGATTAAAAGTCCAAAGCGCAAAGAATTTGATAAAAAAAATAATCATAAAATTCTACAATAAAATTTTAACTGTTATAATCTCTACATCAAAGCTTTTAAACAGACGTTGTCTTTTAAAACTATTTTTGAATGAAAAAATTCATCCGCCTTATATGATGTCTGCATCACATATTAAATACAATTGCTTCGGTTTAATGTTTTCTTTTTGCAAATCAATTAATGTCTGTTATACGCCCAGTATTATATTTTTCAATAATATTAAATATATACAGCGTCTAGGTAAAAAAATTTTTTAGTTATCAATCCATTCATCAATAACGGGATTATATAGATAAAGAAAAACGGATTTGGCATAAATAATGAAAAGAATTTCAAATATTTGCGATCTGTCTTTGAAAAAAGTATTTATACCTCATTTCAAAATTTAAATATTCCATCTAGTTATACTTATTGCTTTTAAAATTGAACTCAGTAGTTTTCTCGGTATTTTTCAATGTTAATTATAACGCAGTATTCATTAGCATAAAAAGTTAAGCATTACAATTCGTTCTTTTTTTATGTTGAAATCGGTTAACATTAATTTAAACAGTACGAATTTGACAATGATTACTCTATTACGTATTCTAACGTTATTCAATGACTCTTGAACCCTTTATGTATTTTCAAATAATGTTAAACATTGGCCTGATTACAAAAAAATAATCATGTGTCAAATTTTAAGGCACTCAAGGTTTACTTTTTAATTATGAGACGAAACCTCTCAGAATTCTATGGGCCCTTGGCGTTGTAGGGAGATGAGCTTCAACAGTGCCTGGAACTCGCGACCCAGGTGGAGGTTTAAACGGTCCCTAACTAACGCGCGTTAAACGCTTACTTCCACCGTCCAAGCTCCTCTCTCTGCATAATATTCATTTATCTTAAACTAAAATTATTCAATTAATGATATAAATAACTAATAAATACTTTTCAAGTTATGTCATACGACCTGTTTTGATCAACGTAGGTACATGTTAAAATTAAGTTACATTAAAAATTTATGTTCACATTATGTCGTGTTTTACAAATTCTTTTGTTTAAAAGGGGCATAGTGCAATGATTTGCAATTCAAAATTACTTTAACACTGTCGTTGGTTTTATTTGACGTCAACTTTAGTGCAGATTATAATGACCTTTACATTTTTTCATTGTTATTATGTTTTAACTCCAATTCTGATGGCTTTCTATGTTATCTATTTAATAAGGGATATAAAAATGTTCTCGTTGACGAAATGTTAATATTAGTACATAATATTATTTATTTTCTCCGTCAATATTGTGGAATTTCAAAAACGTACTCAAAACTTAGAATTTCTTTTAAGGTCTCCTCAAACATCAAAGGTAAAATGGCGTTGATTATTATTTTAGAGAAAATAATAGAAAACCTCAGAAAATATGTGAAAATATTAGTTTTTATGGGAAGCTGATTGAAGAAATGGACTAAACATTCAGGGTAGCTAAAAGATTTCAATTATTCCATGAATTGTATTACTTGGTAAAAGCTGCTTTGTTTGTAGAAATTAATTTATTAAATGAATATTTAATACATAATAACACATAACTTGCGCAATTTGCACACAATGCTTCGAGGAATAATTTTGAATAATTAATACTTGATTTATTCATTTATTTAGAAACATACCTGAATTTTTAATCAAAGAATATTTTAATTCGAAGTAATTTAATATAAGAGTATATTTTTTGTGAGTTGTGTTTCGAGTAGTTCAATTTTTTTTATTTATGTTTTCTGGTCAAGCTTTTTAAATAACCCGTTTCGTTAAATAATGAGAAAAAAAAGAATTAAAACTTTTGTATGTGAATTTGTGTAGGGTAAACTGAACCACGTTATATGACCACCAAATACCACAAATGAGCCCAATGCCCATACATAAGATTTTTTAAAATACTTATAAAGTAAATAAATGCATGACAACTATACCACAAAAATTAATAAGATTTTTCCAGTGTCTTACCTAAAGCTTTACCGGAGAAAAACGATACTTCAAGCTGAATCAGCTTTTTGTCTAGATTCAGTAACGTCTAAAACAGAAGCTGAACAAATTGTAGCCAGTTAAAAATATGGGAAAAAACTGCTCCAGATATTAATTTTCTTCTGAACTTATGTCTAAATAAAACGTTTTTAAAAATATAATTCAATGATCCCTTGAATGGTTTTTTTATGAAGAAAAAATATTATTATTTTTTTCTATTTCCATTAAAGAATTTTACGACAAATTTTTAACATTTTGAATTTATAGTCAGTCTAGATATGGATATATAAAAAAATTGTGAGTCACAGAGGACACTTAAGTTTTTAACATTAACATACCTTCAGCTTCAATAAGTTTTCTTCCATTTCAAAAATCTAATTTTGGACGTTTTGTTATATGAATAAAAATATTGTTTTGTAGATGGCACCATCTCCAGTGTCGGAAGATAGATTGACGTCGGGACACCGTCTGTCTCACCCTCCACCCGGGGATGAGGTCCTCATCACTGGCATCTCGGGTTACTTCCCCGATTCTGACTCTGTTATGCATCTGCAAGAAAACCTCTTCAATAAGGTGAAAATTTTACCAGCCTTCAACTAAAAGATTAAAGAAAATGAAGATTTTTTGTAAATATTTAGTATGGACGTTTAAAAATTTGTATTTTTCAAGGTCGATCTGATCTCTGGAGACGCCAGACGATGGAAGCTCGCACACCCAGAGATTCCGCAGCGTACCGGCAAGATCAATAACGTCAATAGATTCGACGCTTCATTCTTTGGTGTTCATTTCAAGCAAGCCCATACCATGGACCCGATGTGCAGGATCCTTTTGGAAAAAGCGTATGAGGCAGTCATAGATGCAGGTAAAATTACAAAACATTTAAAAATACATATATATATTTTTAGAGAAACGTATTTTCATGTAATAAAATATATTGTTATGCCCGTACGTTATTGTAGGTAATTTAGTCATGAATTTTTTATATTCATAATATAATGTTCAAAAAGCATTCCAGTAATCTAAATAGTAATCTATACCAGAGAATATGATTTTTTTTATAGTAATGAAATCAGAATAAGGGATTTCAATTAAAAGATGTGGAAACCGTTTCGTTATATAGTCATAATAATATTAAACAACGTATTATTTTACTTTTTACATATTCACAAGAATTATTATAATTTAGGTCACTTTAATAAAGATAAATTCGATATCACATTTTATTCAGATTTCACTATAAACGTTTGTAAACTGATTTCAAATATTCCCAGTAAAGTCATTAATGCTATTAGCTTTGAACGACAAATTGGCCTTTAATTTGGTGTACTGAAAACATGTTATTTTCAGTCTCTTTATGTAAATGACATATTCACTCAAATTAATACCCAAATAATATCGGTAGTAATTAAATAACGCCAGTGATTTTACCTATCCATGATTCATAAACAATATTTTCAACTAAAACCGCATAAAATAACTACTAAAATTTCGGATGCAGTATACTAATTTAATTATAATACATATATATAACCATACCGCAAAATCATTAAATCCAAATATTTAGTAGGAAATACTTTGTATCTCATAGAAACCATAAACGTAATATAATCTAAAACAATAAATATTAAATACGAAATAATCATTATTTATGATATAAGCCTTTCTCAATTCTAACTTGTATGTCGTGTAGGTCTTTCAAGGATTAACTACATAGCATTTCATAATATTTACACGCTCCGAAACTTATACTAATGAACTCAAATTAAAAGGAATAATAATCTTAAAGTTATACTTTAAGAATATTATTATTTCTTTAAATAAAAAAAAGAATGATTTTTTCATAATTAAAGAAAAAATAAAACTCTTTATAGTATTTATAAATTTACTAAAATATGGAAATTAAGAAAGTATGCCAACTATAAAAAAATAATATAAAATGTGGGATACATGTGGGTATCTAAAATAAGATAATATCTTAAGCCACTCCCGTTTAGTTTGAGACGTGGACTTGCATTAAAATTTTCAAATCTTTATAGCAAAGGAAATCTTATCTTGAAATCCATTAAAACTTCCATTCTGTAATTATTTTAATCTGTTATTTTGTTTAATGGAACCCAAAATTTGTTTTATGTTACAAGTTAGAGGTTTATAGAATACTCATCCGTTTTTAACTTTGTTAAAATACTACTCTGTAACTTAACTTTAATGACTTCTGGGTTTTTGTATGAGAAAGACCTTAATACTAGATAAAGCAAAAGAAGTGCAGTAGTTTAATTTTTTTTTTAATAAACTGTTGCATGAGACTGAATTATAATATTAATTAATATACATTTTTATTAGATGGATGGTAATTTTTTTTTATTATCTGGCAGGTTTAAACCCAAAGGAACTTCGTGGCACCAAGACCGGTGTATTCATTGGAGCATGTTTCTCAGAGTCTGAAAAGACCTGGTTCTATGAGAAAATGCAGGTCAACGGTTTTGGAGTGACTGGGTGGGTGAAGTTTTTTACTAAACTGACGTTGGAAGGTTACTCGAATGAAACGTAAACTATAGGGCTATAGATTAGAAAATATTGGTAGTATCAAATGAGTACTTTTGTTCCTAGTATCGGAAGTTATTCCCGGAAGAAATATTAGTATAGAATTTTTTATTCGCTTAACATTACTCCCAGGCTATTGTTTTAGTTTGATCTTAAAAAATTAAAACATGTTATATACAGCTTTTGCTATCAATTCGGTATTTGTATTTTCATATATAATTAATAATAAATGCGTCATCTCTATAAGTGCAAAATTATTTATTTTGAGTATACATAATTAAATCTTCACTCAATCCCCTATCGAGAAAGAAGTCAAACAATTTAAGCTTTAAAATATTTTATAAGTAACAAACCAAACATTTGTTATCACAAGATAACTTTGACAGGTTATCGTATTTTCCTCTTAACTTATATCGTAACTTTCAACTTCTCAAAGGTTTTGAATCAATTCGTATTATAACTTTATTAACGCGTAAATATATTGTGACTTGTTGGATCATTAAAAGTGAAAGTGATGTTTTCAAAGCAATCAGTTTCATTGTGTTTACATTATATAAATATGTTTTATTGATTACAGATGTTCTCGTGCGATGTTAGCCAACCGTATCTCCTATTGGCTTGGAGTCACTGGGCCATCTTACACTGTCGACTCAGCCTGTTCTAGTTCGCTCTACGCTTTGGAACACGCCTTTAGGGCAATAAGAGATGGACATTGCGATGCTGCTATCGTCGGTGGATCGAATTTGTGCTTGCATCCTTACGTTTCCCTTCAGTTTTCGAGGTACGGAAATAGGAATGATAATAGATTAAAAATAAATATAATCTTAGTTTAGTTATTATTATCTGTAATTACATCAAACATTTATTTAAAGGTTGGGCGTGTTGTCAGCTGACGGTAGATGTAAAAGTTTTGACAACAGTGCCAATGGTTATGCTCGATCGGAAGCCATCGTCGTGTGTCTATTACAGAAAGCGAAAGATTCTAGGAGGTGAATAATTTATTTTTTATATTATTTCCTTTCCAAATGTTCATATTAATTTCTTTAATACATTTGTTTTTAGAGTTTATGCTCAAGTGTTACACGCGAAAACAAACTGTGATGGATACAAGGAACAGGGTATCACATATCCGGCTGGAAACATCCAGAAGCTGCTTCTTAACGAGTTCTACGAAGAATGTTCAATCCCTCCAAACACCCTCGAGTTCGTGGAGGCTCATGGCACTGGTATGACATTGAGAATAATTTTGGACTTAAAATATTCATGAATTGACTTAAAAACTTAGCAAAATTTAAAAAAAACTTACACATGTAAAAGTGTACATTAATTAATTGTTTTCTCTATTGAATGAACTTTAATATTTGCAAACATATTTACATAATATATGTATGATCCTTATAAATAAATACATAATAATACTTGTTCGATCACAAACATAATGGCTCTTCATTGTTTATAAAACAAAGCTGATAAAAATCTCCATTTAAAAAAAAAAACAATTTACGGTAACAATCTCTGTTTATTATTTGTATTTTTACAAAAGACAATAACAAAAAACAAAATATTTATGGGCTGGTGATGAGCTTCAAGTTAACTGTTTAAATAATATTTATTAAAGATTTGATTGAAAATTACCTTTAATAAAAATAAAATTATCTTATTGTGATGTAACGATATACTGATTGATGTTTTTAAGTGTAAATATGGTTGAAGATTTTTAAGAGTTAATTGAATAATATGAAAACTTAAGAATATCATTTTTATAAAATGGGTTTTATGTAGGTACACGAGTAGGAGACCCTGAAGAGTTGGTTGCAATTGAAGATGTTTTCTGCACCGGTCGTTCTGAGCCACTTATGATTGGATCCATTAAGTCAAACTTGGGTCACAGTGAGCCAGCATCTGGTTTATGTTCAATTGCTAAGGTATGTTCAGGAAATGTATTTAATTAAATTATGTTTATAAAATGTTACAAACCAATGTTTTTTTCTAGCTCTGTATTGCTTATTCCACCGGATACATTCCACCCAATCTACACTTTTCGGTTCCACGTGAGGGAGTGAAAGCTCTGTCCGAAAATCGCCTGAAAGTGATCACCCAGAAACATCCTTGGAATAGAGGCATGTCTGGTATCAACAGTTTTGGATTTGGAGGAGCAAATGCGCACACTTTACTGAAGAATGTTGCTAGAGAAAAGGTAAGTTATTGAATGCTCATACTTGGAGGAATGGAATTTTTTCTTTCAAGTATTATAATGTTTAAAAACTTTCAAAATTATCTTTCATAGGTCAACAATGGTATACCATCTGATGATTTGCCGCGTTTAGTGTGCGTGTCTGGTCGTACTGAGTCCGCAGTTGCCAAAATACTGGATGATCTAGAATCAAGGACAGTAGATGCTGAACTTGTAAGATTGTTGCATGCCATCCATGACGATGATATCACAGGCCATGTTGTGAGAGGATACAGTTTGTTAGGTAAGCAGACAATAACGTTTTAAAATTCTAGTAAAATTTATCTTTAAAGAAATAGACAGTTAGTAACATTAATTAATGAAATTGCCATAATAACATCACGTTATTTATGTACAGAATCAACTCCAGTGAAGAGCAAATCTGTCAGTCGAGACATTCAGTACTTCTCAGGTGTGAAGCGACCTGTTTGGTTTGTGTATTCCGGAATGGGTTCCCAATGGGCTGGTATGGCTACACAGCTTATGAGAATTCCTGTTTTCGCTGCCGCTATTAACAAGTTAGTTTCATAACGTATTTTATCAGAAATGAATTGTTTTTCTATGTGTCATAAATACAAATATAATACGTGAACAAAAAATTACAGATGCCACAAAGCTCTTGAACCTAAAGGAGTCAATCTAATAAAAACCATAACCGACCCTGATCCATCTATTTATGATAATATCTTGAACTCATTCATTGGTATCGCGGCTGTACAAATCGGTCTTACTGATGTCTTGAAAGCTGTTGGAATTGAGCCGGACTTTATCATTGGTTAGTGAATTGTCTCTTTGAAACGCTTCTCTTAATCAACATTGAACTATCTTCAATTTGATGAGTGAAAAAAAACTAAACACAAAAGTACAGTTATAACCAAATGAAAAAAGACACCAATAATATTTTGCCCATCACATTGAACTAATTACTAACTTTATTAATTCGTGATAACTAAATATTTATGACACTCAGGTCACAGTGTTGGTGAGCTGGGATGTGCCTACGCAGACGGTTGTTTCACCGCGGAACAGATGATCCTCTCAGCGTATAGTCGTGGACTTGCCTCCATCGAAACACCGTTCATCAAGGGATCCATGGCTGCTGTAGGCTTAGGTTATGCTCAGGTAATATTACTACCATGTCAATTGAATATAGATTTATTCATTTGATCAGCTATTAAGCTTAATTGTATTATAAACCTTACAAAATTTACGAAGAAAATTTCATCATTGTATTTCTCTTTTGTTTTATTTCTGAAGATTTGAATGATATACATGTAATAAAAAGAAAAATCTTATATATTTTTTTTGTATTTTGCAGATAAAATCAATAGTTCCTCCAGAGATCGAAGTTGCATGCCACAATGGTCCGGACTCGAGCACGATATCCGGTCCTGCGGAAATCATGAAGAGCTTTGTTGCTAAGCTTGTAGCTCAAGGGGTATTCGCCAAGGAAGTCCCTTGTTCTAATATCGCATACCATTCGAAATATATTGCAGATGCAGGTAATTGTGCATTAAAATTAAAAATAAGTACATTTAAGATAGCTTTATGATTAAAGTGAACACTTAAAAAAAGATTGTTCTACAAATTTTGTTTTATTTCATATTATAGTTAATAATGTGGCATTGAAAAGATGTATAATTGTTGTTTTATTTATTTAGGTCCGAAACTATTACAATACCTGCGAGAAGTAATTCCTCAGCCTAAACCTCGATCCGAGCGATGGGTATCAACATCTGTACCGCAAATGCTATGGAAAGACCCCAGAGCAACACTATCTTCCGCGGAATATCATACTAACAATCTCTTGGTAAGTTTTAGACCGTTTAGGTAGTAGGGCTTTTAATAAAAAACTATAACTTAATTCATGCTATGCGAGTCTATTTATATTATTCGTTGTTGATTAAACGAATAAAAATTTTTAATTTAAGTCTTTTTATTATATATTTTAATATTTTTTAAAACAGAGTCCAGTTCTATTCGAGGAGACAGCTCGTCTGATACCTGGAAATGCAATTACAATTGAAATTGCACCCCATGGTCTGTTGCAAGCTATACTTCGTCGCTCTCTAAAGAAAGATGTACTTAACATTCCGCTTACCGAAAAGAAACACGCCGACAATGTGCAATACTTTTTAACGGCTTTGGGCAAGTGAGTGTGTTTGGATATTCCATTACTTTAATACATTTATATACATTCTTAAATTGAAAAACAGTATCGTAATTTAATATCACTTTGAAATGTACCATACTTCATACATTTTTAAGACTTTACGAGGCGGGTTTGAATCCACACCTCGCGAACATCTACCCGCATGTTCCATTCCCCGTGTCTCAAGGAACACCCATGCTGTCTCACCTAGTTGAATGGGAACACAGTGAAGATTGGTAAGTTTACAATTATATGAGTTTATTTTTGTGTGAATGTGAATGTGAATTCATTTCTGAGACGATGTTAAAAATTTAAAAACCTTACTTGGACCCGATACTTTTTTTTTGGTAGTTAAAAAGCCATAAAATTAATTATACATATCGTATCAAAAATCGTATCATTACGAATATGTTTCTTTTTTATAATTAAAATTTTCGAAAGTATTCATTTAAATGAAAATAATATTTTTCGGATGTACTACGTGATTTGATTTTTGATAAAAAACTACATACTCCCGACGTTTCGGCTACTTTACAGCAACCGTGATCACGGGCAGACGAGATGTGAGTCTACCCATATATTTTACAAATATTTTTTTAATTAGGTACGTAACATCATACAAAGCCCAAGAGAAAATGAAGTCCGGTGAAAGGACAGTCAGGATGTCTATTGTTGATGAGGACTCTGAATATATGGCTGGGCACGTGATCGATGGTATGGATAAAGGAAAGTTAAATATTGTTTGTCTTTATTGGTCGAATCTGAATGTATATAATCTTTATGTTAAGGTCGTAATCTATATCCTGCGACTGGTTATCTTGTCATGGTTTGGGAGACACTTGGTATGATGATGGGAGAGTTATATACTGAGGTGTCAGTTGTTTTCGAGAACGTCCGATTCCAAAGAGCTACTAACATTCCTAAGGACGGAAATCTCGAGTTCATAGTGATGATCCAGAAGGGCAGTGGACAATTTGAGGTTAGAAAAAAATCTAAAATACATGACCACCATTTCTATATCAGTATTATCAGGATAGTAACAGATATTTTGATTACAGATCGTAGAAAGCGGTGCCTCAATCGTGACTGGTCGTATCTATCACAAAAAGAACGTAGGACAGGACTTCCGTGTTTTACCTGCATCACCTGAATCATCTGGACCCAATGTGAAACACTTGTTGACCAAGGACTTTTATAAGGAATTGCGTCTCAGAGGCTATCAGTACAGGTAAAAATTTAACACATTTTTTTTATAATAAAAACAGAAATTGAAATGGTATAATTAATAGTATTTAAATAAGTAATAATAACGGCAAAAATATAATTATAATTTTTAAATTCCGTGTTAGTGGCCTCTTCCGAGGTATCATTGGCTGCAACGTCGAGGGTACTCGTGGTCGACTTTCTTGGAAGAACAACTGGGTAGCTTTCATGGACTGTATGCTTCAGCTTAAGCTGATTGGCCAAGACACAAGAGGACTTTTTGTACCAACGAGAATAGAAAGGCTGAGCATTGATGCAAACATGCACTATGATGCGATATCGAAAATGAATCCTGATTCCTCACGCCAGTCATTCGAAATTAGGGTGTATCCCGAGGTTGAAGTGATTAGGTAAGAATAGATTTTTATATTAAAAGCGAGGAAGTATCATTTAGATCATTTGAGACGAACCTTACTAAATTTGACGTACCACCTTATTTGTTTTAAAATGTATTTTGTAGGTTTTTCATTTCCTAATAGACTAATTTTTGTTTTGTAAAGGGCTGGTGGTGTGGAAATACGAGGTCTTCATGCAACACCAATCTCAAGGAAGAATCCTCTAGGTGTTCCAGTACTAGAAAAGAATGTATTTGTACCCCATTTCGGCAAGTCCAAGATGAAGGCAAGTTTATTATGTCTTAACAGTCTAAAAAATATTTAAGTATACTTATGTGTTTATAAAGCTCCATCAAAGCAACAATTAATTAATAGAAACATTAACTTTTATCAGATTGAAGATATTCTACGTGCCGACATTCAACTGATTCTTGAAAATATACAAACTTACAAAGTTAAAGCCATAGAAGTTATTGATGAAGAGTACAAAACGAATAACTACGAACCAGTTATGGAAATCGTTGGTGAGGTACTCGGTGACTTACCACTGATTCAAGCAGATATGACAGTATTCTCTGAGGAGCCTGTAGAAATGCCATCTAACATTGTGGTAGAAAACAAGAAAGCTACAGCTGAATCAAATACTATTATATATATCGGAGCTAATTTGTTAAGGCGCCCTGAAGTGAGTACTAGAAACTTTATTAAATATGGAAAAATAAATTGCATACATGATATTCAACAAAATTTTATTTACAGGTTCTTAAACCGGCACTTGGTACACTCCGCGATAAAGGTTTTCTGATTAGTCGTGAAAAAGATCTTATCAATCCAAAAGATTTTTCTGATAAATTTGATATAATAAGTATACAAGATACTGGAGTCGAATATTTGGTTCTATTCCGAAAACGAATTGGTGCCAAACCCGCAAAGTTTGTTAAAATTGTAACTACTGATGATACCTATTCCTGGATTGATAAAGTAAAAGAAGAATTAAAAGCCGGTCAGAAGCTTGTTCTTTACAATGAGGATGAGCCTATCAATGGTCTATTAGGATTAGTTAATTGTCTCCGAAGGGAACCAGGTGGCGAAGTTGTCCATGGCCTTCTCATTGCGGATCCTTCAGCACCATCATTTAACCCAGATTTGGAATTTTACGAGGAGCAGCTAGACAAAGATTTGGCTCTAAATGTTTATCAAGATGTAAGTTAAGATTATATTAAGTGAATTAAACATTTAGTTTTATATACATATATATAAATATTCTAAAACTTATATTTCAGGGTCAATGGGGCACATACCGTCATTTACTCCTAGGAGATCTGGATGTAGTGAACGCTCACCACGCCTTCGTCAACACTACAACTATTGGTGACTTGTCCACCCTTAAGTGGCTTGAAGGACCAATCAGGGAGGACACAGTGTTTAAGGATCCATACAGCATTCTCATACATGTATGTGGTGACTTGAAAAATACAACAAAGTGTGAAAACCCTAAAAATAAATATATATATTTTATGTCTGCATAGGTATATTGTGCTGCATTGAACTTCCGTGATGTCATGACAGCCATGGGTAGAGTAACAGTGGATGCTGTAGCGAGAGGAAGGTTGGCGCAAGAATGTGTACAGGGCTTTGAAGTCGTGGGAAGAACTTGCAAGTAAGTGAATATTCTTTAAAAGGATTTCTGCCCACAGTTTCGCTCTGATCTGCTTAAGATTTTAGGGTTCGATTTTACGAGAACAAATAAATAATACTTTGTAGTATCTTATTAAAAGTAAAGCTATAACTAACTTAATTAATCCTTCTTATATTAGTGGCTCGAGAGTTATGGCCATGGTAAGAAACAGCGGTATGGCAAACATGATAGAAGGAGACAAGGCTCTGATGTGGAATATTCCCGATGAATGGACCTTCGAAGAAGCAGCTTCTGTGCCTGTTGCATACGGAACTGTATACTATGCTATGGTAAGAATAATTTTCTATTAAGAAAAGAAAAACAGTGAAACATTTCAAGTGCAAAAAAGTGGATTATATTGTAAAAGTTTCCAAAAAATATTAAAGAATTAATAAAATTTCAGGTAATGGTGGCCCGGGTGCAACGCGGAGAATCAGTTTTGATTCACGCTGGATCTGGTGGTGTTGGTCAAGCAGCTATTAACGTGGCCCTTCATTATGGATGTGAAGTTTTCACTACTGTGGGAACTCCAGAAAAACGGGCGTTCATCAAGAAACTTTTCCCACAGCTTAAAGGTAAACAAAACATGTGCTATTACTTCTTACAGACCAGCCAGTCCTTTTGAAGATTTTATTTATGTTAAAAATAGAAACAGATATACCATTCCTATCTTTAATAATAATATTTTCTCATACTCGGAAAGTAGTGTTGTTTAGATCTGATTATAGGGTTTCTAAACAGCCAGTGTGAACTTACTTAGCGCAACTGGTAGATATAGTATTCTCTTTGGCGCGAATTTCTTTTGAGCGGAATAAGCCGCAACAAATACGCGGTGAATTCGATATACAAAATTTCAAAAAAAAATCGACATAAATTGGCGGGACACTAATTCGTTATTGTATCTGTGTCGGAATTGAAAAAAATAAGTACTTAATAATATTTTATTTTCCTCATTTATTCGAAATGAAAAGGAGAGTGTTTACCTCTTGTAAAATAATCAACTTACTACCTCGTGGATTGATTCTTTCCACCCTTGGTGAACAATCTACTATTTAATGTTATTTTTATAATTATAATCAGATTCAGTCGTATTTATAAAATCTAAATTGTGTTTAACCAATTACATATATGTACAACAGATAGTCATATCGGCAATTCTCGTGACACATCCTTCGAAGACATGATCCGAAAAGAAACGAAAGGCAAGGGTGTCGACATCGTACTCAATTCTTTAGCAGATGAGAAGTTACAGGTGAGGGATATTGAAATTATTTAATATTAATATATTGAATAATTCTAAAATATAAAAAGGGTCGCATTTGAATAATTGACACTAGACCTAACAGTGTTAAAAAAATAAATTAATATTATATATATTTCATAGGCGTCAGTCCGTTGTCTCGGGTACCGTGGTCGGTTCCTCGAGATCGGCAAGTTCGATATCAGCAACAATACTCCCATCGGCATGTACTTCTTCTTGAAAGAGACCTCGTTCCACGGCATTATGTTGGACTTTATCTTCGATCATAGTTATGAGTTCAGAAAGGTTTGTTCTTTTTATACTCGTTTACTTAAATTTCTTTTCGTCGTTATGTTTTTTAGTATACCTACGTTTTTGAGTTAAATTTGCAAAAAAAATTGGCTAGAGTTACAAATAGTGGTCTTTAACTCCAAATTGAATTTGAACAGAGCCTACAAGATTTGCTGCTCAGTGGCATTGAAAGCGGTGCTGTACGACCACTTACTTACTGTACTTTTGAAAAGAACGAGATAGAGGCTGCATTCAGATATATGGCGGCTGGAAAACATATTGGAAAGGTGAATATTAATACCCGTAAAAGCTGAATAGCTTAAATAGTTTTAAAATTTTCATTTCTTTGCATGCTTTGTGATCTAAGATATATAGAGCTTTTTAATAATATTCGTCTACTACAGGTTATTATTAAAATCCGAGATGAAGAAAGGTCACATCGCCCTGTGAAACCAGTAACATTAAGAATACCAGCAACTCCTCGGTGAGTTCCTTATAAATTATACTTTTAATTGTTACTATCAATAGACATTTCATAAAAGCTAAAACAATGGTATTTTAGAAACAAAGTATACAAATATATTTTCCTTGTTTGATACAGTTACATGTGTATGGATGACAACGTCTACGTAGTTGTTGGTGGTCTTGGAGGTTTCGGTCTGGAGTTAACGGACTGGCTTATATTGCGCGGTGCCAGACGTGTACTGCTCACATCCAGACGAGGAGTCAGTAATGGATACCAGGCCTCTCGATTAAGGTAGGTCTTTCTAGACAATAAGTACAAAAAAATAATTATTTAATTGTCTTTTAAGATATTAAAAAATCAAAGACAATGATGCCTCTTGAAGTGAATGATAATTAAAAATTCTATAATTTTTGATTCAATTTATTTTTATTTTTGGAATAGACACAGAAATAAATCTTTGATGACAGTAAATTAATATGCATAAAAATATTTGTACATATATGTAATTGAATATATAATGTAATTGTCATTTGCTTGAATCATTCATATTTATATTGGTTGCTAAAATAATCATAACACCAGAGAAATTTAAAACTATAAAAGATCTAAATAGGCGTATATTTGATACTAAATATATTAATATCAGTAGACCCAGAAGTTTTGTTTTCATTTGTCGTGTTATACAAAAAAAATAACTAACTAATAATTATGAATTTATTATCCTAACGTAATAATAAACAATTATTATATAATTTATATTTTGCACTAGATAATAACCAGTTCAAACATTCATATCAATGTAAAAAGCGATCAACTCACTTATAATTTTTTTCTACTAGGACTTGGGCTCAATATAAGGCAGATGTGCAAGTCTCAACTCACGATATTACAACTGAAGAAGGTTGTCAAAAGATGTTGGAAATGGCCAACTCTATGGGTAAAGTCGAGGCTATATTTAATTTGGCCGTCATCTTGAAGGATTCCATCTTCCAAAACCAAACCCCTGAGACATTCAAGATATCATTCGGGCCAAAAGCTAGAGCTACCATGAATTTGGATAAACTGTCCAGAAAACTGTGTCCTGATCTTAAGTAAGTAACCGATATAAATATTACACGTAAACAATTTCTATTTACAAATCTGTTGATTTTTTTTTCATATTTATCAGTTTTATTGATGTGATGATGACATTGTCTATTTAATAGGGACTTTGTAATATTCTCATCTGTATCCTGCGGTCGTGGAAACGCCGGGCAAACAAACTATGGATACTCAAACTCAGTTATGGAACGTATCTGCGAGTGGCGACACAAGCTTGGTCTTCCTGCGTTGGCTGTGCAATGGGGCGCTGTGGGAGATGTGAGTTTATTAGTGACAAATATGTTTAATCGTATGAAAGTATGGAAAAAATAATCTATTAATAACTTATAATACATATTAACACAAAGATTTAATTCAAATTTAATCCAATCCAGATTCGATCAATCAAAATGTCATTTCGGTAGAACAGTTATTAAAAGTTTCCCCTTTCAGTTTTGCAAATTTTTTGCTGTTGCTATATTCGCAAGCTAAAGTTTTTAATTTGGACTATATTTTTATACATTTTTATATTTAAATTGGATGTTGATCCATATGTATTTTCATTTTAATAGTGTTTTATTATTCGCATATTGTTTTAATGAAATTTCAGAAAATTTGGAGAATTTGTTTATTTTTTAACATATGCACTGTTTTGATCTAATATCTCTTTATAAAAGGTCGGTTTGGTAGCGGATATGCAAGATGAAGATGTTCAACTAGAAATCGGTGGTACCTTGCAACAGAGAATTTCCTCCTGCCTTCTATCTTTAGACAAATTCTTAAAACAAGATGCAGTCATAGTATCCTCGATAGTTGTGGCTGAGAAGAAGGCCGGTGGTTCTGGTTGTGGCAACATCGTCGATGCTGTGGCACAAATTATGGGTGAGATTATTGAAATAATAGTTCTCAATGAATAAATGCATATGTTATGAGGACTAAAAATGTAAAAGAAATGTTCTATGAAAACAAATGTTAACTAACTCTATGGAATATTTTTTAAATAATTATCTATTGTGATATTGATTATATATGTTTCAATTTCTTTACCAGGTATCAAGGATCTGAAGACTGTATCTCAACAAGTCTCCCTCGCTGAATTGGGAATGGACAGTATGATGGCTGTTGAGATTAAGCAAACACTGGAAAGAGAATTTGAGATATTCCTTACGGCCCAAGACATCAGAACATTGACATTTGCAAGGTTAATATATATTGCTATAATGAGAGTATAAATAAATTTGGAATTATAAAAAATAATTAATTATATTTCTTAAACAATTAGATTAGTGGAACTGACGGCAATACGAGAGGCAGCAGCATCTACATCGGCCACAGCTAGATCTCATACATCTGATGTAACAGCCGGTCTGCGAACCTTCATAAGGAATTTCGGAAACGAAAACCTGGCCACAGAACCTTTCATTTATATGCCTACGATGGTCAGCGATGGAACAGAGGTCAGTTTTATGATTTGGATATAATATTTTTTGTATTATTTATCAATAACACTAAATTTGGGATGCCTTTTCAGACGGATGTTTCAGTTCACGAAGACGAAGCGGTTATGTTCATGCTGCCAGGTCTGGAGGGTTGTGCTGCGGGAATGGCACCTCTTTGTAAACGTCTTAAGATTAAGATTTGTGTCCTGCAATTCGGTGCTGAAAATGGCAATGATACTTTAGATGATTTGGTTAATAATCTACATCAGGTATGATGCTACTTATAATACAATATAATCTAGCAATCAGTATTCAAGTCGTTGGAGAGATGTGGGTAACAATAAATTTATAATTTTCAGACAATAAGATCACGTCTGATCCACGGAAAACCTTACATCCTTCTTGGATACAGTTTTGGAACTCTTCCCTTGTTTAAGTTAGCAAACATTTTAGAAAGCGAAGGTTTGTAAACAAATATTATTTATATATTTACATATTTCAATTAATTATAATACAGAAAAGCATTAACATGAATGTTTGTATTTTAGGACACTCTGGAACAGTGTTTTGCATAGACGGCAGCCCTGAATTCCTCTCCACCACGATTTCGAGCATTGCAGAATTTAGAAATGACAAGATATTACAGAACAGCCTGATTTGTTACACCATAGATTTAGTTGCTCCTAATAATGATGTAACACTAACATTGATGGAAAAACTTCACGAAATAGAATCGTATGATGAGAGGATTAACTATGGTATAAAAGTTTGTCCAGTTCAACACAGCTATTCTCACAACTTTATACGCGCCATGTCGAAAGCTTGTTACAATAGAACTAAAATGATTTTCGAACATAACGAAAATGATGTTAAGAAAATCAATGCTCCTGTCATACTATTACGACCCAAAGAAATTCCCTTACCTCTTGAGGACAATTATGGTTTGGACAAATATACTGAAGGCCCTGTTACTGTACATTATTTGGAAGGAAACCATGTCAGTATAATTGAAAATAAGGATTGTGCAAATATTATTAATAAAATTATAGGGGGTCAAGATAAACTAGAAAAGGATGCGCCAAACGTGGTTACAAGTATGATAGAACAACAAAGATCAGTTGAAGTTTAGGCGAAACTACAATTATTAATATTTATTTTAGATTATTTTTATGAAGAAGACTTACGTTATTTTTATTGCAGGTCATTAAATTACAATATTTAAAATTCTTGGTTAATATTTAAATGTTAAAGGTTTGTTTATTTTAATGTTATTATTTACTGCCACGTGTTGGTTTTTAATTCTGAAGGGATTTAAGGGCTTATAACTTAAAACTAAATAAGTAATATTTGTAATAAATAAATATATAATAAAGTTTTGTTTTTATAAAGTACATCAATTGGAACCTTACGGCGCCTTGTGTTTAATTTATAATTTGTTTAGTTTTAAGAGAAGACCAGTACCGAATATAATATTCATAGCGTAGTATGCAATGTTTGACGTGTTCACGTAACTATGTGTGTTTTAGAAAAGGTTGCTTTTATAACTATAGTAGAAATGGCATTTTAAAGTAGTAAGTTACTCATTCTAGAGTAGTGGGTAAGATATGGGTACTATGAATAAATATATGTTTTATTACCAGCCAAGATTTTTGTATTATTTTTTCTTATAATATCCCCAAAAAGAATATAACCATAACACAATACTTATACCATTATGTCAAAGTAAAATAAATCATATAATAAATGAATTATCCTTTTTAGATATTTCAACTCGGAAGACTGGAAAAGTTTTTAATTACTTTTAGAACTTCCGTACTTACATGTTGTTGAAAGTAATATTAGACACCAACAAAACAGTTTTTGACACATATTTATTAAGCTTTAAGTAACTTATTTCTATAGCTGACAATATTTACACACTTTGTGACAAAACCGAGGTATTAGTGAAGTGTACATCTGTGAGTTGTATGACTGTAGGGGCTCAAAACTCACGAATGCAGGGATATGATTAATTAATTATTTTTACTTAACTATATTCGTCTTGGTCTATTGAATAATCACTATGAATAAAAGTGTTATACAAGTACAAAAGTAAAATTTAGTGTTATGATGCTATTGTTCAAAGGTTGTTTTTTTCATATGATAATGATAAATAGTTCTTTTTATCCAATCAGCCGATAAGCCATACACTGAAAGATTTTTAAAAAATTCCTTTGATAGTTCCTGAACATTCTTTCAATTAACCAAACTTTTTAACTTGTCAATGATAGCATAAATTTTAGTTTCTTCAAATTAGACTTACCACGATGCCGAGGTATTTCTGAGAAAGTATTATACCCAACTCATATATGCAGGTATCGCTTTTAGTTTTGTTCCGTGGTTTATCAATGAGTATATTATTTAATTATTGTGATCATGCTACCAAAGTTAAATAAAGGGGAAAGAATTATTGGCATATTTTTTCGGATGGCCTGATTTCAAATCTGCATAAATAGTTAGTTATCGAACTAAATGGAATACGAGATTTCGTAAACCTATTATTATATCTATTTTGAACCCAAAAATAGGGGCGCTATAAATTTAACATTGATTTTTGTATGTGTATGTGTGTCTTCTGTGACATCATAGCTTTCAAATGGACAGATAGATTTGATTCAGTTTATTTTCATTTGAAAGACAGTTTCCGTGTAGTGGTTCTTAGCTATGTTGTGCTAATATCGGTCGAGCACTGTAAGATTATCATCTCATATATAAAATTATGGAACTATTTTTTCCCTATTTCTCTATCCCACTCATTAGAGTTTAATAGTTTAATGGTAATAATTAATTAATTTGTAGGAATTGTTCTAATTATTATATTAAATTAAATTATTAGTATAAGATTAAGTTCTTGATTACATGAATTAGATTACGTTTTAATATGCACTTCTATACACGTTAAACTAATATTATTCATTTTCATGATTTTTCTACAAAATCAATTAGAATATTACGTACCTCTCCTGAGCTTTGTGTATAATGGTTTATGTTTATTTGTCACAGTAATACTACTAACTTATTTAAAAGCATTGCAATATTTTCGAATTCCTTTTCCAACATCAATCATTGAAACCAACAGATTGAAAGTGCAAACAGATAGATTAATTGTTAATAAAAAAATTACGTATCTAAAAAAATACACCAAATAATTTTCATGCATACCATAGTTTAAATTCATATTTCAAACTTCATTGTCTGATAAGTCTTGACGTGTTTTAATAGAACATTGTTGGAATAAATATATTGAATAGCAACATAAAGTGCACGTGTGGAAAGCGAAACAATTGTTTGTGTTTAAATCAATGAACCGGCTCCAAAATCAGACGGAACTGACACTCGGTTAATTGCAAATGTTCTGCTGTTTTAGACATCAGCTTTGTTTGTTCGAGTATGTTTTGAATGAGGACCAGAAAGGGAGAAATTCAAAATTGAGAGTTGCAAACTAAAAGTTATGAGGATATACATAAATAAACAAAGGGCACGACTCTAGGTCCGCTGAGCCCAATAACGTAATCTTGTTGATTACTCGTTTTGTAATAAAATAATATAAATTCTTTATTTCATTTCAAATTTTAAATACTTAATTACTTATTTATGAGCACTAAATATTGTCTAAGATTGTATGAGACTGCTGTTTATGGATAAAAATGTGGAAGTTTTTTGTATCGACGGGCTAGTTATCGTGAAACAATATTTTAGAAATCCGGGAAATATATGATTTATCTTATATAATTTTGTTTAAAAGAGATCGTTTTGTACAGTGAGCCGTATATAAAATTATCTTCTATCGTTGTAAATAATGAATGCTACTTCATATCTTCGTTAAATAACGGACAATATTGACAATTATTTGTGTAGTACTTGTAAGTGATAAATCTTCGAAATAATATAAGTAATTTTTTTGTTGGAGTCTTTTTGTAAAATTCTTTGATTGAATAAAGACATTTCAACACTACTTAGGGATGAAACTAATATTTTCGGATTTACTACGTTTACTACGTTGAGTGGTGGCTGTAAAGTAACCGAAACGTCGGGAGTATGTAGTTTATAATCAAAAAATAAAAATCGTGTAGTAAATTCGAAAATATTAGTTTCATTTAAATGAATAGTCGCGAAAATCTAAGATCTCATTACTACATAATTAGGGATACCTTAGTTATGTATATGCATATACATACATTATTATGTTGATATGTTGAATTAAATAAAAGAAATATTGTTAAGTTGCGTCATTAGCTCAAACGTTAAATAAAATCTTATTTCGCTTACATAATTCAATTTTTGAAGTGCACGAAATGGAATATATATTGAAATAGTGTGCATATACTATATGTTCCTATATGAATTGGAGTAATTTAGTCTACACACATTTTCCCCTTACTCCCGGTGTAATAGGAATATGTCCCCTACTAAGTGTACATACATATTTAAGTGTACTGAAGATTCGAGAACGTTAAATTATTTTATGTTACCTGAATTTGCTGGGTTTATGTTTTATAATTGGAAATCCGAAAACTAAGAAAAGGAAACGTAAGATTTTAAATTTTGGCTTCAAGCGTATTTTTTAATAATGTCCTATTTGTTATTCTCACTATACTACATCTCTTAAATATAAATTATTTTTCCAATATTTCATTAGGAAATAAGTGACTTTGTTTTAAACGTACATATAGCTTCGAGAACCCATAGTAATCGATGATTATTCTGAAAGCTAAGTAAGCACAGCCTATATCGACGTCCCAGAGTGCGTGCATCGTTTGTACACACTTTATATACTGACACAAGATACATGGCATCTACTTAGAAGAGTACCTTAAATTAGTAAGTGTTCATATAGTACTTGCTACAATCGTGGTGATATTTTCCATTTGTGAATACAATTAAGGTAAATAATAATCACATAACCCATATATGAGCCAGGTTATACATTCATGTTATATGAAATGAATAACAGGTTATCAAGTAATTCTATGGGTGGAAAACATTTTACAATTTTGATATTGTTTCGGAAAAAGCAACACAAAGGTAAATTTTCCAATGGACCGTTTTGCTTGTTTTTGATTGGTTTTGTTGATTTTAGACGATGTCGATTCAAAGTTTCATTCCTTTGGAGTCAAGGACGTCTTAAGAATATTGTGCATTATAAAAAATGGGATAATATAAATGTAGTGAAACAAAAAAAGTCGCTTAATTTTTTTTTCCCTTCAAATTTTCATAATCTCTTTCATGTCCAATGTGAATTTTGTCATTTAGTTACTTACATTGAAATGTTATAATTACATTAGACAGAAATTTACATCTTGGAATCCATTAAAAGTTCCTTGGGTAATTAATTTTATCTGATATTGTCTTTGACCGATCCCGAAATTGTTTTATGCTACAAGTTTTTCAAAGCCATTTGGTATCAATTTTAATTAATTAAAGATAATGGAACGTTCATAATATTTTTATATTTGATGAAATCATTAATGGTTGTATTCAGTTCTCAGTTTAATTTATAAGTTAAATAATATATCCATTTTATTAATTATGTATGAATATTATTTTATCCTTCTTTAACGACTTATGGTTGTTTTTAATTAAGGATGTAAAGCTTTCTTTCCATACATTTATGCAAAATATAATTGATATTACCATTTGTACATCTAAGTAAATAATAAATACACTACTTGAATATTTATAATAATTTGACAGAAACAATATCGATACCTCCTAAGTATACTGAGTCAACTAACAAATTTAGGTATTTTTATATTTTTATATAAACGTACGTGATAAGTCGTGATCTTAACGTTTGTGTAAAAAAAAATTAAAAAAGAACGATAATTACCGAAATAATTTCACGTATACTAAATCAACTGCAACATCAGTAAAAATCATATATTTTAAACTGATCTAACTAACATTGTACCAGTGTACGCGGGGCGTGAGGGAGGACGCGTTGATACAACTACATCGCAGCTCAGTATACGACCATGGGCGTCGAGTGCTATTAGTAACAAAAAGGAGTCAAACAGTACTTTTTATTATAAACAGAAACTTTGTATAATTTCACAATATTCAATCTGGGATTTCGTCAGGGTTATTGTT